AAATTATGAAAAATAAGGAATTGATGGTTCTCAACCAACGAACGGAAGTGACAGAAAATATCTCAAAAATTACTGACACGCTTGTAACCTATCCTGAAAATCAATCTCGAAAGCGTATTTTCAACTTTCTTCTATCTTCAGCAATTTCTGATATATCTTACACTCTGTACAGGTATCGTGGAAGACGATTATTGCCATCAACGTCGCTTAGCGGCAACAACGTCTCATCTCCATTACAAAATCATAACCCATGTCCTTCCTAATACAACCGTGCTTGGGCTATATTAATCATGTGACAAATTATCTTTTAATTCTTACAGACGTTTCTAATAGCGTTTCGGTGTTTCATGCAACTCATTCACCTCCTACAAAACTGTAACAACGTAGCAGGAACGATTTATTATCTAGCACATCTACGTGACGGAAATTTATTCGTATAAATTCGTAGAAATATCAGGGGCAAGCAGAAAAAATACGTTTTGGGATTTATTTCAAAACAAATTTAATTTTATAGATCATAGTATTGATTTCGCTTTCTACGAAAATTGTAAAAAATTGGTTAAAATTAAGAGAAGTCTAAGAAGTTAATTAATTTAAAATATGGATAAATAAATTTTTCCTCTCAGCTTAGATTATTTATCAAAAACGACAAGAAGGTATTGGCGAGCTTATCCAATGAAACGACAGGCATAATTCACTGATTAATGACGGCGTGGCTTTGTTATTAAATTATGACAAACTCTAATGGACGACAATTAATAATGCCGAGTCTAGCGGAGGTATCGATTACACTGATAATGAATTGAATTAGAAACTAAGGAAGATGTTCTCGTCTTTCGCAACTCGTTTTCTACGTCGTCCGAAACATGTCTATAGGATTAGAATTATATATTTCGTGACCAAGTCAATAATTTTTGTTAGTGAAATGTTTCTGTAAAACATACGAATACCTTTTTGAATAAACACAACTTGTTTATGGCAGAAACGATTTTCGTGGATAAAATAAATAGAAATACATTTTTTTAATCACCTTGTGTAAGTTGTGTAAATACAAATTGCTAAATCATCCTTAGAAAGATGACTAATGGTTTCAAACATGCTATTAATTAGCTGTTAATGATGCTTACAAGCCTAAGATGGATAACAAAATAATTAATGATTTTGGACTTTTTTGGTAAACGTACTTTACCAAATTATTTCACTAGCCGGAAGGATTATGGGTACTGAGAATGTCATGGTACCACTTTGGTAGCAGGAAGAACATTTAAAAAATGTTAATACCTGTAGATCATGTTACATACAGGTAGATAGTGATTCTTCGTCTTGTATAATCACAATGACCATGCTTTTGTAGTTTGCAACTTAGAATTGTTACAGTAAAGGAAATTTCGTTACTGTTTGTAGTTGATGATTTGTTGAAAATGCAGAATTTCTCAGGGCAACTAAAATAATATTTCCAGCAAGTTTTCAGGCAACAACTTCCTAATTGTCCTAAGAATGTTACAATTACATGATGATGTAATGTCAACAAGTAAAATTTTTATTTTCTCAAAAATTAGTACTACTCACTACAAATAATTAAAATCAAGGTTGTTAGTAACATTATTTCTGTAAAGTGTAATACTCCCACACTCCTCAACATCATTCAAATACATTTTTTCTAAACTGATATAATATGCTTGTTAAATTAACTGTATTATTAAAGCAATATATTCTTGAAGTAATATTCAAATACTAAGAGATTATCTTTCCAGAGGCGTACGGATTATTTTATGACAGTATTTGTATAATCTGTAGATGATAGTCAAGAATATTTAGAAGGAATTAAAGAAGAAATCTTGAGATGCGGAATCGTAAATAATCATACTGCCCATCTGAAGAGAGAGAATCATATACAGAATGATCTACTAACTTTAATTATTCCAAAAACGTACCATTTAAAAATAGTAAAAATTGTTTTTAATTATGTGAAATACACTAAATATAGGATGCTGTAGTTTAGTTGTTGGTAACCAAAATATAAACCATACGATTTTTGCTAAGCCTATACAAGGTGTCTCATAATTAGTGTCCAATAATTTAGTACTTTATTCTATTGTCAAAAATAAGAATATTTGTCATATAAATATGGGTCCAGAAATTCTTCCTAATGGAGCTACGCCCCCCTAAATGGTGCCTCAAAAATTTTTTTTTATATTTCCGAAATGGGTTAAAGGAAAATTATGAATTTTGACATCGTGAACGCTCATTAAAAGTCGAAACAGACCATCATAAAATTTTTCAAAAATTTTAGGCAGGGGCGTCTCAATTGGGGAGGCCGTCGGCTAAAATTTGCCCCAATTTTTTTTGCTTGTCGAAATTTTCAAATTCAAATGCCAACATATCATAGACACTCATTTAGTTTGCCTTAAGTCACAAACGTGTAAATATTTCATTTTCCTGTTTTGTTTCATCTAAAAACAATGAAAATGTTTTTTTTTTAGGGGTTTTTTCTCTAATTGTCTGATAAGGACCTGTTCCCCTTATATGACGATCGATTCAGTTACGGTATACGACGGGTCGCGTCCGATTGGCACCCCCTTGACCCTTCGGCGACGCCCATGCCGCTCACAAACCAGTTTCAATTAAAACCCTTGTTAAATTCCCGCTTTATTGCAGAACAAACATACTAGACTGATGCTGTCACATGTAACGGAAGATGAGCAGCGTGAACGCTGGCTGAAATACCTCGGGAATGCGTGGGCAGAACAACGCGAGTAATATACCGGGATGTGGCATCACCGCGGCCATTATATAATGTTTGACTTGTAATATTCGGTTTAAGAAGAATCGCGTCGATACGCGGTGTCCGTTTATGTCGTTTTTTTGTACTCATCATGTTACATCAACTTAAAACAAATAACATTTACAATATATTTAATCAATTTGTTACTTTTTATAAAAAATTCATACGCAAATCGCAAATTGTATGTTTCATACAATGGTTTTAAATCTGATAGTCTCTTAGCTTCTTCGGGTGTACCTCAAGGGTCCAACTTTGGGACACTTCTTTTTATTTTACCTATTAACGCCAAAATATAATCTTTGTTTTTGCATTTCTGTTAAGGGCTTACAAAAATATGTAGATTTAGTTCAAGAGTGGTGTGTAGAAAATCACGTTAATTTATGTAAGATTTAAAATTTGTTCGTTTACAATTAAAACTATAACCTTGAAGTTATCCTGAATAGAAAACTTTTCCAAACGGTCAATTCTTTCAACTAAACTAATGCAAAAAATTAAAGGGTCAAATGAATTTTTTGACAGACTGTATTTAGGTGAAAAATTGTACCGAAATAATTCCCGATACGAACATTTTTCACTCACGGAAAAATTTCGGAAATTCTTTTGACCAATTAATTTTTTGCATTAGTTTATATCGTTCCTTAAACGATCCCTATTTGCTTTAGTATACTTAAAACTTGAATATTGCAGCATTATTTGCTGCAGTCGTTGGTTAGTTAAGTTTTTTTTTGTTCTAAACCGCAAGAAACAACCACGTGAAGTTATTATAAGGATTTAAAAACACCCTGTATAGTTATGTGAAATTTTATTAATAAGTATATCAGAAAGAGAATATTTTTCTTAATCGCAAAAAAATTCAACATTTGGATGTCTCTAATAACTATTATCAACACAAAAAAGGTGTTTTTCAGAAGATAGGAGAAATTGAAATTAAAATACAACTGATTAAAGAACTAATGAAACGCAGAAAATATTTTTTTAAATAGTGGACATGTTTGTTAGTACAGACATAATATTATTTTATTATTAATTTTGGAAAAAATTGTCTTTTCGTATTTTCAATGGTAGATAACAGTCTTTGAATTATCGTAATTCCAGATTACTCTTTCAGTTTTAATATAACTTTAAGGACCATACTTTATTCCATTTCTATTTTCGTGTTTTTCGTTCAATACTCTCTTTACAGCTTGTTTTTGACAGAAGGTTCAGTCTCTTTCTGCAGTAGAAAGAGACTCTCTTGTAATGAGTCCTTTGTGCTACAATCTAAGAGTTGAATTATTGAAAGCCGCATAACCCATTTTTTTTAATACTTTTGCCACCCTTTATTATTTATTGCGTTTATATATTATTTATTTTGTGGTGTGCGGTACATCTATCCAACAAAGTCACTCAAGCTCTACGTCAGGATAAATTGTTTCCCACTTTTCCCGTATACACTCCGTATACACTGTTTGCCTTGTAATATTAGATTTAATAAGGATCGTATTTATACGCTTGTTAGGTACTACGGCTGCCACATAGCGGGTGCATTTAATTATTGGCTAAACGACGATCTTGATAAGCTCGAAACGTTCATACGTGCACTTCCATGGACTTTATGAGCATCGAACTATTTATTCCTCTGAATGTCGTCTATGAATAATCATAAAACGGATTCCTGACTACCAGGAAACCGGAGGCGAGGGGGTATTTATCGCTCCCTGCGAGATGGGAATTGATGCCGGAGATGTGGGAGATACCCACTGGTATTGGATGAGGATGAACGTCTTAGAAATATATACGACAGGTGCTTATTTTCGTGCTCTCTATCACTGTTTTCAAGAAACACCTTGTATATTTGATGGGATTTGGATACCAATGTTTCGAGGATGTAAATTGTATAAATTTTACTTCTTCGTGCCACCATATTTGTGTTTATAGTCGCGCTCCGCCTAAGAAACGTTTTACTGAATTCGCTGACCTCTGCCAACAAACTGTCGTTCCATTACCTCGGTCTCGGTATCAGCAGATAGCTTGCGGCGTTAGAAAGTTGCAAAGAAATGAGACAATGGCCACGAAATGTTCCCCGACGAAAACAAACACTGTGACGATTACAGCAACATTTGTAAACGTTACTTGGCGACCCGTTATTAATTTTTACGTTTAAAAATCAGCTGTTTCATGCCACAGTATCCGAGCGTAAAGTTATTCTTTTTGTTGTAAAGCTGACCTTATTTGTTACAAGCGAGTTCTTTCCGGTGCGGTTAAATAAGAATTATAAGTCGGCCGAGACCATTCTTGTGTCGTTCACTGCGCGACTGAGGTCCCTCTTTCTTCCAAAGACATGAATTGTAAGTATTCTAGTTCTATAACTAGTAATAATTTTACTCACGCGTTGTTTTATTAATTCCAGATCTACGGAGTGCTTTTCTTTTGTGCCTGGTGATGACACTAGGCAAGGCGAGTAATTCTACAAGACCCAAAGTCCTCATTTCAAGTCCATATGTCCCACAGATTGCGTCCGACCTTCTCAGCAAATGGTAAGCGATGCTTTGTGTGGAAATACGAATATTTTTCTGCGGTGGAATATTATTAAATTAATTTTCCTTTGTAAAACAAAGCGGGCGAGGTTTGTGTTACAATCATTGCGATACGGTTTGTTTATTAACGGTTTAATTGATTTCAATTATTTGAAAGGAAATCTCAAGGTCGAATTCTAAGTTTGTACATAATACATTTATATGTGGATTAAGGCTGGATTCTTGAACTGGATTTTTTATCGCGTTAGTAAAATAGAATCGCATTATGTGCATTTACTATACAATTTAGACGCAGTGGCACTTTGAACTTGATTTACAAAAAAAACCTAAAGTCGAAAAATTGTGAATTAATAGAAGTTTTACCTAGCTTGAACCTATAAACTGATTAAAGCAAAAAATTAAAGGATTAAAAGAATTTCCGAAAATTTTCCGTGATTTTTGACAGGCTGTATTTAGGTGAAAAATGGTCGTATCAGGAATTAAAAAAAAGTATTTTGAAGCTCTTAGATTCTAGTTTTTAGATCTTTCGGTGGAAATTTTTTAGGAGCTACGGTTATCATGTAATTTTAAAAAATAGCGCGACAAACAAATTTTGCAATTTTTTTTACATTGACCAGATAGCTTGTTTATTCAGCTTCAATTTCCTTTTTTTTTTTAATTTCGATACAACAATTTTTCATCGATATATCGGACTTTTAATGGAAAAGGATCCTTTTGTCTTGAATCATCGATATACCGGCGACAAATGGTCGTACAGAAAATTGAAATGCAGTTTCGAAAATTGGAATAAATTTCCTGAAACATGCTGCCGCAACTTTTCGGAATTTTTTTTTTTGGTGGTACTTATATTAATGACAGTTTAACCATTAATAACAATGTGTTTTTTTTTTAATTATCTAAGCTCTTACTATTTTATTGTTTATATCTTTTTCTAAGTACAAATATTTTCCTGCAATTTCATTGCTATGTACAATTTTTCAGTTGTGATCTTATAAACGTACAAAATGGGAGCAAAGAAGAAATTCTGTCAAAAGTAGAGGGTGTAGACGCCATTTTGTGGGCCTCCCATCTCAAAATAGACAAATATGTTCTAGATGCGGCAGGTGATATTAACGCGATTATCATATCTTCAATCCCTTGTCCAATAAACGTGTTACAGGTAGTCAAATGAAAACAATAGGCACCATGACGGCAGGCTATGATCACATCGACCTGGTAGAACTCAGGAAGAGGGGTATAAAACTTGGAAATACTCCAAAGGTGCTCAATGGTGCCGTTGCTGACACTGCTGTTCTGCTTGGTCTGGCAGCCGCCAGGAGATTGCATGAAGGAAGATTGCTGATTGATGGGTAATCAACATTACGTGACTAATCAACATAACGTTTGTTCCTTCGAAGTATGATGCTTTCATACTTTCTATTTATAGGTCAAAATGGGATCCAAATGAATGGATTTTGGGACAGGACATCGCTGGGTCTACTGTAGGAATTATAGGCTTGGGAGGAATTGGTCAGGCAATTGCAAAGAGGCTAAAACGTTTCGAAGTTAACGAAATTATATATACTGGCCACAAAGAAAAGCCTGAAGGTAAATTGTTATAATTTTTTTACAAAAACATATTGATTGTAACTCGTGTTGTAGGTAAAGAACTGGGTGCCAGGTTTATTCCGCTAGAAGACAGGGATACTCTGATCAAAGACAGCGACTTCATTTTCATAGCGGCTCCTTTGACTCCAGAAACAGAAGGGATGTGCAACGAAGATTTCTTCTCCAAAATGAAGAAAACCGCAGTATTTGTCAACATAAGCAGAGGCAAAGTGGTAGACCAAAAGGCTCTGTACAAAGCTTTGAAGGAAGGGCAGATTTTTGCTGCTGGTTTGGACGTCATGACACCCGAGCCACTACCAGCAACCGACGAGCTTTTAACCCTTCCTAACCTTGGTAAGTCAAATTTAACATGAATTGGTTGAAAAATTGAAGAAGTAATTTTAGACTTCTGCTTCAACAGAACAACTTATTCATAATCAGCATTTCTGTGAAATTGTTCTTAAATTAATTTAATGTTACTAAATAAAAGACTTTTTCAGTTGTTTTGCCTCACTGGGGCAGTGCTACAGCAAAAACAAGAGATGCCATGGCGCAGCTAACTGCCCAAAATATCATAAAAGGACTAAACGGAGAACCTATGATAACTCCAGTTGTATAAATTACACACATATTTTTCTGTAAACGAATGTAATAAAGAAATGTTTTTTGTATACTCTGAGTTTTATTGCAGAAGTCTTTAATAATAAAATATTGGAAACATAACGAAATGGATACAAAAATATGAAAATTATAGTGAATTCAGAATTTAGCGTAGTTAATAATAATAAAGCTTTTAAATTAAAAATATGGACATTTCTTCAACTTTGGTACCCCGTATCACGAAAACGAGGTCTTTATCTGACGTATTTAGGGTTTATTTTCTTCCTGACAGTCGAAATTTCATTAGAAAATACAGTTTTTTGACGATAATATTATTATTTCCTGTTCACGTCTGTTGGAAAGATTTAGAAACACCATGTGGAAAAAATATATACAATAATGAGATTGCAATATAAGGGAACAACTGTTACGTCTATTTCAACGAACCTTTGAGTGACGTACAGTTAACAGTGTTAAATATTTCTGTACCCCATCACGGCGACGTTCGCCTGTAACAGTGCCTATTATTTTTTCCCAGCCGGCTAGCAGGAGGCTTTATTCTCTCATTATGTCGACTTGAAAAAGTGTAAAGCTCACATGACGGACATTCCTAAACTCCCCATTGTGCAATAGAGATATATATTTGTGTTGCGAGACGCATAGATTACAATGTTAACCTGCAAAGGTGAGAGGTCGCGAGATGGACTCTTGAAGGTTTAGCGGCACCTTTCATCTTATCTCCATTAGGGTTTTTATCTCCATTATTCACCTCTCTCGTCCGCGTTCATTATTTAGCACGGGAGACACAGGCGAAAATATTTTCTCGGATTAGGTACCGTTTCATGCAGGTATCTAGATGCTTATAAAATTTATAATTAAATTCAGAGATTTAAGAGAATGACTATATGCGTCGACCTGAATTCAGTTGCCGACTATCACAAAGAATTAAGCAGTAAACTAACAAGAATTGTAATAAAAACTGTATGGAAAATTGTGAACTACTGAAAGGAAAGTTAAGGAAAGTTACTGTTGGTAGAACAACGCTGCCAAAATGTCTTTAACAGATTGTAGGCTTTATATTTTATAAAGTCTAAAGGTAAGATGGTGGATTTAAGTCGGGACTTATTGGAGGCCATCTCATGGGACCAAATCAACCATTCTACCATCATTTTCGACCGTGATATAATTTCCTGATATACTTTCTGGTTGGACTACCAAGTTCATAAATTAGTTAATTCCCATTATTTCTGGGAACAGTTGTAGTTGTGGATAAAAAATACGATGATGGCAATACAAAAATTTATCAATTACACCAAAATTTCACCAAAGGAGAGTCACTTGATGCGTGCTTAGATGTTTAAACATAGAAAAAAAGTTTTTCTGAGACATTTGCGGTGAAAGTAAATAGGGGACAAATTTTCAACAGCAGAATGAAGATTGTTATAAAATCAGAGAAATATGTACAGAATCGTCGATTTGAGGAAAATTGGTCAACTTGTGGGCCCATCTCCCGGCCTAACCGTCAAGTCCCGAGCGCTGGCGTCTACATAACAAGAACAATGAAGTAATTGTTATCGACACTAGCGAGGCGAAAAACTGAAGTTAATTATGAAACAGGACTTTTTCTAAGGTATGCCGCGTACATAAGTACCTGAGTTATGCAAATTTCTCTAGCGAAAATAAATTTTTAGCTAATCTTAACGACTGCATTGTCAGGTCTTCATTGCGGAAAAGGCTGTGCGTCGGTTGCACATGACTCTGGATTTGATGGCGGGCATTCCTTAACGCTAGGCGTATGGATTTGGAGCCACTTGACGAAACAAGTTTGGGTATGTAGATAATAATAATAATGTTTCGATTTCTGAAAAAAGTGTGTCTTGTAAATTTTAGGTATATGTGATATATTATTTATTTAAGAAGCGTATCATCAATGATCAGTTGCTTTTACAGAATATCAATAACCAAGTAATAGGTAGGTAAATAAAATTCTAAAGAACTGATATATACGTTCAAATGAATCGTTAAGTTTTTTACTAAAATTGTAACAGTACCTACCTACCTAGCACTCCGTATAGACCCAGTTACTTACAAGGAAATAACATTTTATCAACTACCATTAATAATGAAAGGATAATTTCGCAAAGAGGAAAGGCAAACAGTTAATTGAGAAATGGCTTTTTGTTTACTGTGCAATAAACACCAATGATTTCACTTAAGTCGTTTCCTGTTAGCTTCCTGAAGGTGTTCTATAAAAGAATTAAACTTGAATTTGCACTAAATTGCTTTAGTTATTTTTAATTTTGTTTTAACACAAAAGTTAATCTAAAATATCAAAATATTAATTGTCTGTAGTAAACAAACTCTTAAAAAATAGGCTGCGTAAGTACCTAGGTACTTAAAGCAATACAACTAGATCCAGAAGCGAGGACAAACATTGTTCACCCACTCCTTTGTTAACACAAGCTGAGGAAGAATGCTTGAACGGTAACTGTTGAAGTGGCAGTGAGGATACTCGAACGTCAACGTAAATGCAAATTTAAGTTGTACTAAGGGAAATATGATGGTTCACAGAAAAATCAGTTACCTACTTATCGCCATAATTACCAATGATAGAGATATTTAAGTATTTATAATTCTACAAATTTAGGAGCGGTTTTGAGCACCTCGAACTCATGCGTAGAGGAAGAACGACAATCAACTACTTATAGGTATAAGTACAATAATAGAATTTATGGCTCAACTTTTTAATTGAATTGAATTGAACAGCTCAACGTTGAATTTTCAATTTTTCTGTTCATTTTTAATTTGTAAGTTGCTGTTCTAACCTAACGTTGAAGTCTCCATGATAAGAGATTTGTGTCTTGACCTAATATTAAAGTCTCCAGAGATGCGGCAAAGAAAAATGTGCTAAGTGGCTGAATAACTACCAATCGAAAAAAAACGGAAAAATTGAATTTTGAGGCAAAGAAACGAATATTTTTAAGCGTTTTGTAAAGACTTAGCTCGATGAAGGGGTAAGACCACTGCATAATTTTCGGAAAGTTTTTTTTGTTGATTTAACAGATGCTTTGAACCTTCTAGAATAAGAGGAAAACAATTTTGCGCTTCCTTATACAAAATAGGTAAAATATTATATTTTTTAATTTCCGAGTTCTTTCCCAAACGCGTCGGACTGCTCCGAAACGACTACTAGGGTATATATATATATACCTGTTGGAAGGGTACAGCCTAATGATTTTGAATTCTAACTTCTCTTATACTACTAACAGACGTCGTTAGAAGGACTTTGTGTTCGATTAAAAGCATTGTCAAATGTATGTACCTACTTTACTTTAGTACCTACCTACCTATAATGCAAGTATATATCTCAAAACTTTAGAGACGTTTTTCTCGAAACACGATTTTTTAAAATAGCAAGCAGCTTAACTCGTAAAATTTTTTTTCAACCTATTTAGTCCAAATTTTGACCATATTTTGATTTTAGTATTATTTATTAACAAAGGATTGCCCCTTTTTACTTCAAATGATCGGCAGTCACAAAAAGTAGTAGATATTTCTCTAATCGTACTTGTAGGTCCTACTCATGTAAATTAAGAGACAATTTTTTGTTTTCTTTCCATATGCAAAGTTGCGTCAGTTAGTGATAGAACTTATAGAATAATATTTTGGATGACTGGGTATATTTTCCAGATAATCTATTTTTAATTTGGTGATAAGTTGTTGTTCTGACCTAACATTAAAGTCTCCTCGATAAGAGGTTCGTGTCTTGACTTAATATTAAAGTCACTATAGAATTGAATCAGATACGGTATGTTTAGACGTAAAGAGAAATGGAATAAAAACGAAATATTGCATTATATGCCAAAGAAACGGATTTTTACCGACGTTTTATAAAGGTTTACATCCCATTTTAAACAAATATTAACAACTTGTTGACGGAATTTTATTTTTTCATGTGGGTATCTGCCTTAGCATTTCTAAATACTTAAATGTACAGTATACAGTGTGTCCCACTATTGCGCCCTGAACAGAAAAAAACGTTTTTATCTGAAAATTTATTAAAAACTAATTTTATCGGTAGGTATAAAAACTCTGACCTGTTTTCAAACTCTTAAAATCAATTAAGATCCATTGAATTCAGATATGGACCTCCCAGAGGCCATAAAATTTTACATTTTCCTGTTCCGTTATTTATTTGTTGAGTTATTCTAAATTCTGAGGTCCTTCTCGGTATTATAAACTTAATACTCAAAAACCACATCAATATCTCACTTTCCTGTAGGCCGGCTTGTAATAATCCGCTCGCCTGTAATCCTAAACCCGAGGATGATTACACGCATCATTCCTAATTCCAAAAATCGTGTTAACAATTAGTTACCCACCGAAGACAGACAGTTTATGTCAACGGCTCTCACTGAGATTAGCCGGGCATTGTCTCTGGTTTCCTGATTGCAACACAGACGTCTGCACTGTCGGCCTACCCAGCCGACGTGCATGTGTGATGATATCGAGTGTTAATTACGCGTAATTGCATATGCATGAGGCGAAAATTAACAATTATTAGCGAGACGAGTGCTAATTTTTGTCCGAGCGAGATCAGAATTTACCGATGTTTCGAAATACTCCGACAAGCAACTTCGCTGGATAAAACGCGTTAAAAAAATAATCAACAGCTTCGTTGTGGTAAGTTGCCTTGGAGGAAGGCCGGCCAGCTGTTAGAAAAGGGGCGGCCATGGGCATGGGAACGGCCCTGGGTGTATATCGTGTTGCCGTACACGATATAATGCATAGCATTAGCCACAATATCTGATACATAAAATTGAAACGTTTAGAGGTGCTGGTACGACCCCGCGACCCCGAAAATAAGGATAACTTGCACGACCGAGCGTTACCACTTATATGGGTACATCTAAACAATTTTCGCGTCCATGTCAATTATGAAGGCGCCCATTACAGGCCAGGTGTTAACCTCGCGTTGCATCTCATTTGCATAAAATCGCACAGGGCAGAGGATACGCTGATTGACCCCAAACTAATTAGAAATCTTGCGAGGATTGCGCCCGAGCAATGC